CCTAAAATTTTCGATTGATTTATAATAAAAAGTTCTCTCAACCTTGTTTTTATCATGCTCTTAACTCTTCTTTCATCTTCTCTTTCACAGTACTGCATAACGGACGGCGCCGGTAATTTTCGTCGGCCCTCTGTGGAGGATATCAAAAAACATCGAATAGTTGTAGTAACTCTCAGTATATCCATGGAACTTGCCAATCTCGGCCTACCCAAAGGTTACTTCACACACATCTTTCTCGACGAAGCCGCACAGGCTATGGAATGCGAGGCCATCATGCCTTTAGCGCTGGCTAACGACAGCACACGCATTGTCTTGGCCGGTGATCACATGCAAATGAGCCCTGAACTATTCTCTGCCTTTGCAAAGGAGCGCAAGCTGCATATTTCGCTGCTCGAACGTCTATACGATCATTATCCCTCAAATTTTCCATGCAAAATATTGCTTTGTGAGAACTATCGCGCCCATGAAGCCATTATTAAATTTACATCTGAACTGTTTTACGAACAAAAACTAATCGCTTCCGGCAAGCAACCACGTCACGAGCGTTTCTATCCGCTGACGTTTTTCACCACGCGGGGTGAAGATGTCCAGGATAAGAATTCAACAGCATTTTACAACAACGCTGAGGTGTATGAGGTAGTAGAACGCGTGTCGGAGCTTCGTCGCAAATGGCCCATCGCTTGGGGTAAGGTAAACGATGCCAGCATCGGTATAATGACGCCCTACGCCGACCAGGTGTTTCGCATACGTTCAGAGCTGCGCAAGCGCCGCATGGGCGGCATATCTGTGGAACGAGTACTCAACGTGCAGGGCAAACAATTTCGCGCTGTCTTCCTTTCTACTGTGCGCACGCGCGCCACTTGCTTGCCGCAAATGATGAACGCCCTTGTCGGACCTGCCGGCATGCATCCAGGCATGGGCGGCGGTCCCATGAGCGCGCTGGGCAGCGTGCCTGCAGAAGATACTGACTTCGGTTTCCTAAGCAACTCCAAGCTTCTAAATACTGCGATTACACGCGCACAGAGTTTGGTCGCTGTGGTTGGCGATCCAGTGGCGCTCTGTTCGATCGGGCGCTGTCGCAAGGTATGGGAGCGATTTATCGAAATATGTGACGAGAACAAATCGTTATTTGGCATCACGTGGTCGTACTTGCGCTCGCAATTGGACGGTGTGGAATTGAAGCGCGGTTATGTGTTGAATCCGCTAGCGCCCGAATTTATACCGCGCGCCATGCAACCTGAAGCGTATTTGCGCGATCAAACAGCCATGTACTTGATGGGTGCTGCGGCTGCTAACGCTAGCAATCATCACGGTGCACCACATCCCGGAGCGGGTCCCCATCATCCAGGAGGTCCATTGCCGCCACACGCTGCCGGTATGTTGGCCGCTGCGGCTGCGGCAGGCGCTGGCGGCGGCCCAGGTGGTACGCAAATGCAACCGCATCACGCCGCCATGGCCGCCGCCGCCAACCATCAACAACAAATGCAAATGCAGATGTACGCGCAGCATCCTGCCGCTGCAGCAGCCTACAACGCAGCCGCAGCCGCGGCAGTCATGATGAATCAGAGCATGGCCGCTGGAAAAGGTNACGATTTATCGAAATATGTGACGAGAACAAATCGTTATTTGGCATCACGTGGTCGTACTTGCGCTCGCAATTGGACGGTGTAGAATTGAAGCGCGGTTATGTGTTGAATCCGCTAGCGCCCGAATTTATACCGCGCGCCATGCAACCTGAAGCGTATTTGCGCGATCAAACAGCCATGTACTTGATGGGTGCTGCGGCTGCTAACGCTAGCAATCATCACGGTGCACCACATCCCGGAGCGGGTCCCCATCATCCAGGAGGTCCATTGCCGCCACACGCTGCCGGTATGTTGGCCGCTGCGGCTGCGGCAGGCGCTGGCGGCGGCCCAGGTGGTACGCAAATGCAACCGCATCACGCCGCCATGGCCGCCGCCGCCAACCATCAACAACAAATGCAAATGCAGATGTACGCGCAGCATCCTGCCGCTGCAGCAGCCTACAACGCAGCCGCAGCCGCGGCAGTCATGATGAATCAGAGCATGGCCGCTGGAAAAGGTGGTGCTAGTGGACATCATTTCCCTGGCCCCGGACACGGACCGAACCACATGAATATGCGCGCGATGGGACCACATCAGCCAGGTGGCCCTCAGCAACAACCAGGGCCGCCGCCTTCGGGACCGCTGGGACAGCAATATAATATGCGTGGGCCACCGCCGCCACCATCTGCCGTGCATTTACCACAACCGCCACCACCCGGTACCACTGGTCCGCCGTCACAATTCGCCGCACAGTACATGCCGTGGCAACAAGCACAACAACTTCGTGGTGGCCCACCAGGCAGCGGTGGTACAGGAGGTAACTATCCACCACCGGGTGCACAGCAGCAAGGACCTCCACAATCACAAAATCCGAACGCTAGTCTGTGGGGACCGCCACCGCAGTCGAATCCGTGGAGCGCGCTGCCTAACAAGCAAGCACAGATGCCGCCACAACCGCCGCCAAACAGTATTGGTGCCGGCGGAGGAGCACGTCAAATGGGGCCACCGCCACCTAATTCACAGCAACAACAGCAGTCGGGCGCGGGAATGCGTGGCGGTAGCGTGCCACTACAACCACCACCGCCTAACGCGCAACAGCTACGGGCCAACTCGAATGACATGGGTTATTTGACGAAGAAGGGTTATGGGCCGCATGGCGCACCGATTGGACCACAGCAGCAGCCGCCACCACCGCATGGCTCTTTTGGAGCGTACGTTGGTGGCAACGCGCCACCTCCACCGCCCAGCCAATTACAATTGTTGAATCAACGCAATTTGGGCGGAGGCATGCCAAATGGGCCCATAAGTCCACTTGATCCATATATGCAGCGAGGACAGGGAGGGGGCAGCGCTCAGGCCGGTGCACCGCAATCATCAACAAACTTCTTTGGTGGAGCTGGCGGTGTGAATAACATCTCTGCGCTAGGTAAGGATAGCAAAGACTTCCAGTTTCTTAACAATGTGCATATGCCGCAACTGAATTTAGGCGGCAGCGGCGGTGGCGGCAGCAGTGCTGGCGCCAATAATCTTTTCCAACCTCCGGGTGCTTTGCAGCCACCGGCGCCAGGCAACAACAAACAGCAATCGCCTTCAGCGCCGCGCTTCCCCCAACCGCAGGAGTATGCAGCGCTACTGCCACCAAATATGAGCATATATGACATGGCATTCGAGCCGAAGGAATCGCAATACAAGTGGTGCCTCAAGTTGCTCGAAACACACGGCCAAGAAGCGGTCAACAAATTCACCGAGGGTCTGGGACAAGTCTTGAATATGCTCAACCAACAGCAACAGCAACAACAGCATGCCCAACAACTAAACGCACGTGGCCCACAAATGCAGCCACCACCACCGCCGCCACATCTGAATGTCAACCAACTATTGCCGCGGGACCTAATGCAGCAATATATGCTGCCCGCTTTGATGGGGGGTGGCAATAGCGGTGTGGGACCGCAGCCACCTATGCAACAGCAGCAACAACAACAACATCAGCAGCAGCAACGCAACAGCCTAATAGGTAGCGGCATGCATCACACATACCCCATGAACCCGTTGGCGGCCGCTGCTTTGAGCAACCAGCAAGGACCACAACAGCAGCCACCGCCGCCACCTTCTTTACTTCCGCCGCCCACAGACGAGACACCGCCTCTGGATGGCATAAATTTCAATCAGCAAATTGATTTGGCCTTTAACACACTGTTGAATGGGAACAACGCACAGCCAATATTGCGCAATCTCTTCAGCAACACTAGCAGTCGCGGTACAAACGCCAACAGTCTAATGAATGGTGGTGATTTTCTGCTACCGTCCAGCACGTCGACATCTTCATTGGTCAGCACCAGCACTTCGGCATCTGGCGGTGGATTGAGTGGCGGTCTTGAGCCGCCTGCACAGCAACAGCAAATGAAGCTGTTCCCTGGCTTAGGTGGTGGCGGCGGCGGCAGCGGCGTTGGTGATTTGGGCGGTGGAAACATTTTGGTTTCGGCATTACAGCAGCCGTTGTTAAACAGCATGCAAAAGGGGCCGTTGTTTGCGCCCATGCCACATCAGCAGCAGCAACAACAACAGCACATGCATGGCCAGCCGCCGACACAGCAACAACAGCCCCCAGTTGGTGGTAGTTTCTTGGGAGGAAGTGAGTATATATTCATTTCATTTATGTGATTTTTCCATATTTTTTTCGTGCGGATTACGAAAAAATTTAACATTTCAACCAACCCTACGTAGGTGGAATTTACCAAATTCGTTAGAAAATTAAAACTTGTGATAGTCGATTTTACGTAAAAAACAATTCAAAATAAAAACAGAAATCGTTTCTATCAAAATTTCGAAATTCGTACATAAAACTTATAATAGGTACGGTTGCAATATCCGATATTAGTTCAAAAGTTACAAATTAGAATCAAAAGTCATCCCTACCATAACTTCAAAATTCGAGCACGAGGCATTGGATAGTCATAATTAGTACAATTGTATAAACTTATCCTAAACCTTAACTTGAATCATGTGTACTGTTTTTGATAGGCGATATTAGTTAAAAAAAAATATTAAAAAAAAAACCGAAGTGCACATAGCCGATTTTCAACAATAAAACAAAATGTGTTTCCGAATAACGGAAATTTCTAAATTCGAAATTCGAACTGAAACATTTGTATTCGTATGTTACATTTGATAGCCGATATTATTGAATACAAAAAAAAAAACAAAGTAAAAACAGAAATCATCCCTACTGATATTTCGAAATTAGAGTATGAAATGTATCTATTTCTGAATAATCAAAATTAGTTTAAAACAAACCACTTTGGGTTTATGAACCATCCTACAGAAATTTTGAAGCTGATATCATTATTCAGGTTCAAAATTTTCGGAAGTTGAACATGGAACATAAAGTAATTTTATGAATGATTGGAATACGTATCTAAGCTCGCAAATTGCTGCTTTGAAACAAAAATCATCCCTACTAATATATCGGAATTCGGACTTGAAACATAAAGGCTGCGTTTCTTTATACATTCCGGATAATCCCATTTCACNATTTTATGAATGATTGGAAGCTCGCAAATTGCTGCTTTGAAACAAAAATCATCCCTACTAATATATCGGAATTCGGACTTGAAACATAAAGGCTGCGTTTCTTTATACATTCCGGATAATCCCATTTCACAGCCGGAATAAACAGAATGCGTTTGAAATAGACGTCAACATATCAACAAGAACGTTCTNAATTAGAGTATGAAATGTATCTATTTCTGAATAATCAAAATTAGTTTAAAACAAACCACTTTGGGTTTATGAACCATCCTACAGAAATTTTGAAGCTGATATCATTATTCAGGTTCAAAATTTTCGGAAGTTGAACATGGAACATAAAGTAATTTTATGAATGATTGGAATACGTATCTAAGCTCGCAAATTGCTGCTTTGAAACAAAAATCATCCCTACTAATATATCGGAATTCGGACTTGAAACATAAAGGCTGCGTTTCTTTATACATTCCGGATAATCCCATTTCACAGCCGGAATAAACAGAATGCGTTTGAAATAGACGTCAACATATCAACAAGAACGTTCTAAAGAATAAATAAAGAAAAAAGTTTATTCCAAACGTTCAGACTGAATAAAGAAATGCAGCCAAAGTATGATTTTTGATAATCGAAATAAGTTCACAATTCGGCATTATAATCAAAAATTGGCAATATAAATTTACGAAATTTAAACTCGGAATTTTTTTTCGATATTTAACTTGGAAAAAAAACGATTTTGAACTTTGAAAGAAATTTTCCAAATTGAATTTAAAAGAAGTTTTTGGAAAAATATCAACGATTTTGTAACCGTAATCATTAACTTAGTGCATAATATAATTTTTTTTTTTTAATTTTCGAATCAGGTTAATAAACTAGATGTCCTTTATATCCATTAATTCTTCTTCTAATAAAAATTTAATTTCCCTCAGATTCCTTGTTGAATAGCAAAGACTACTTGCTGGGCGGCGATGACAGCCTATTGAGTGGTGGCTCAAGTGTGCCACTGTACCGACGTCAGGCAATGGGCAACGGCAGTTTGAACAACACTTTGAGTAACAGCATTAGTATGAGTGGCAACAGCGCTGGCGGGAATAGTCACAGCCACAGCCACAACAGCAATCACAGCAACTACAATAGTGTGACTGGCCACAGTGGCACAGGTGGTGGAAGCAATGTAAGCGGCCATCTTTTGCCACCACCTGACAACATACTTACCGGAGGCACTACTGACATACTGGCCGGGTTGAATACAAGTGCAAGCAATCTGATCGAAGCGCNACAGCAATCACAGCAACTACAATAGTGTGAGTGGCCACAGTGGCACAGGTGGTGGAAGCAATGTAAGCGGCCATCTTTTGCCACCACCTGACAACATACTTACCGGAGGCACTACTGACATACTGGCCGGGTTGAATACAAGTGCAAGCAATCTGATCGAAGCGCTATTCCAAACAAACTCCACAACAAGTTCTGCCCCCAGCTCGGTATCGAATAACACAATTACAACGACAACTGGGCTAGAGCAGCAGCAACAACAACAGCAGCAGCAATCTAGCGGAGGCAGCAACAGCAGCTCATTTCAGAAGATGTTTAACAGCTATGACATTTACGGCTCGTCCGCAGCGACGGCGAAAAAATATGAATTGGATTTGTTCATGCGCGATCATCAATTGGGAGTTGGTGCAGGTGGTAGCGGTGGCAGTGGCGTTGGCGGAGTCGGCACTGGTGGCAATGTTAGCGGTGGTAATAGTGGCGGTGGTGATGCACCACTTACCAATAATCATCACACGCATTACCACAATAACAATGCCGATAATCGCAATAGCACCACTTATGCAGCAGTGCTAAGCCAGGGTCAACATCACCAACAACAGCAACAGCAGCAACAACATCATCAGCAACAGCACCATCATCAGCAGCA